TAGGGGGGGGATCTGTGCAGGGGAAGCATATTACAGAAGCAAGAAACAAGACAGTTATTTAATTAAATTGAGACATGCATTACATCATTTCTTACTTTTCAAGGAGAAAACATGTTTTATGGCTTGAGTTTCTCTGTTCTAGGGGACCTTGCAGCTGCACAGCTAGGGAATCAGGGTCTTCACAATGCCTGGGGAAGGAGCAGAGATAAGGCTCGCTAGCCACAGAAAAAACAGGGCAGCTAATTTTAAAGGACTTCAGCTCTTTCTTTCTTTCAGGGTGAATTGGGTTTTCTTACATACCAACGAGTGTCTGCTTACACATTCTTTAATTTCTTTAAATTCCTGTTCCAGTCAAACAGACATGTTTCCACTGATGGAAAAGGAGATGGCCGGGCGCAGTGGCTCATGCTTGTAATTCTGGTACTTTGGGAGGCCAAGCGCCGTGTGGATCATGAAGTCTCAAATTCAAGATCGGACTGGCCAAGTGGGTGAAAACCCTGGTCCTCTACTGAAAATTAGAAAAATTAGCCAGGGTGTGGTGGGCACCGTGCCTGTAATCCCAACTACTCAGGAGGCTGAGTCACCAGAATTGCTAGAACCTGGGCGGGGGAGGTGGAGATTGCGCTGCAGGGATCGCATCACTGCACTCCAGCCTGGGCAACAAGAGCAAAACTGTGTCTCAAAAAAAAAAAAAAAACAAACAACCTAAAACCAGAATAAAACAAAATCCCTCAGGGCTGTTCTTCAGGGAAAGCAGGAGAAAATTGTAACTCAGTTTTGCTATAATGTTCAGCTAATTTTGAAAAGAAAATAAAATCACAGAGCTAAAAAGATTATTTCTGATGAATTTTGGTACAAAGCAGAATTATAGAGTAAATGTTTGATTTTAAAACATTAAGAGGCAAATAACCACACATTCTATGATTTCATTTATTTATTTAGTTAGTTAGAGGTGGAGTCGCACTCTGTCACCTAGGCTGGAGTGTGCTGGCACGATCTTGGCACACTGCAACCTCCACCTCCTGGGTTCAAGTGATTCTTCTGCCTCAGCCTCCCAAGTAGCTGGTATTACAGGCGGGATCACCAAGCCTGGCTAATTTCTTGTATTTTTAGTAGATAAAAGGTTTTGCCATGTTGTCCAGGCTGGTCTCGAACTCCTGATCTCAGGTGATCCACCCGCCTCGGCCTCCCAAAGTGCTGGGATTATAAGCATGAGCCACCGTGCCTGGCCTCTATGATTCCATTTATATCGCAAGCCAAAGAAAAGGACTGAGATGCGTCTGATTCATTTTAGTTGATTTTGCCAATGTTGAGGACATGTCCAGGAAACACACACACACACACACACACACACGCAAAAGTACAGGACACATCTGCTATCTGTGCTTTTTCTAAAGAGGGTTTGGGGACTTCTATAAATAAAGGGAAAAGAGCGGGCAGTAGGGGAAAAAGCAAAGAAAGAGAAAAGAGAAGGTATATATCTAACAGAGTTGCATTTGAAAGCAGTTGCATTTGAATCTTTTGATCAGTGTTTACTGAATCCACATTTTACATGTGGAAGGAGAGGGTAGAAGAACCACCTGCACATTAATTTTGCACTTAGTGAATCTGCATTTTACATAAGATAAATAAACATAGAGTAGAGGAGACAGCCAGACATGGATTTGTCTCAGGTGGGTGGAAGCGTGACTATTAGTTCTGTCGTTTGTTCATCACTTGTGAACATAAGTTATCCATAGACATTATCAGGGTGAAATTCAACAGAACTCTTTTTTTTTTTCCTGAGGTGGAGTCTTGTTCTGTCGCCCAGGCTGGAGTGCAGTGGCATGATCTTGGTTCATTGCAACATATGTCTCCCGAGTTCAAGCAATTCTCCTGCCTCAGCCTCCCATGTACCTGGGATTACAGGCACCCACCACCATACCTGGCTAGTGTTTGTATTTTTAGTAGAGACAGGGTTTCACCATGTTGGTCAGGCTGGTCTCGAATTCCTGACCTCAGGTGATCCACCTGCCTCAGTCTCCCAAAGTGCTGGGATTATAGGCATGAGCCACTGCACCTAGCCTCAACAGAACTCTTTTAGGGTCAATATCTTGAGGCACACAAGGAATTTTCTTGGAGCAAATTCTGAGAGAGGTATGCAGACTTTTATCTTTGTAGATATCTTTTTTTTTTCTTTCTTTCTGAGAGGGAGTCTCTCTCTGTCGCCCAGGCTGGAGTGCAGTGGCGCTATCTCGGCTCACTGCAAGCTCCACCTCCCGGGTTCACGCCATTCTCCTGCCTCAGCCTCCTGAGTAACTGGGACAATAGGTGCCCACCACCATGCCTGGTTACTTTTGTTGTTGTTGTTGTATTTTTCGTAGAGACAGGGTTTTACCGTCTTAGCCAGGATGGTCTCGATCTCCTGACCTCATGATCTGACTGCCTCGGCCTCCCAAAGTGCTGGGATTACAGGCGTGAGCCACGGTGCCTGGCCTGTAGTTATCTCTTTATCAAATAAAATGGGCGACAGGTTTGCCTGACCCAGTTCCCTGCTTGACTTTTCCCTGTAGCATAGCGAGTCTGAGGTCCCGAGATTTTATTTTCCTTTTATTATATAAACATGAAATAATGATATATATTTGTAAGATCTGAAAACTACAGTGTAAAAGAAAGAACACACACAAAGAATACACACACACACACACACACACACACACACAAACATACATACATATATACACAAATGCACATATATGGTCTCTGCCCCTGTTTCCTGGGTGCGCAGCTCCTGAAACCCTTGAAATCTGCAAAGTGGTAAGTGTCTTTGTGGATGCTAATGAGACGACTGATTTCTGGGGCCTCGTGAATAGCCTCAAAATGAGGACTGGTTGCCAGGGGAGTCAACCTTGTGATTAGAGGGTTGGAAATTTCA